CACCACTGCATCTCTGATTTGTATTATTTCGGTTCCACTTTTTTACAATTATTTGCAACGCGTCCAGTCCAATATGCAGCAAGAAGTAGATTTTTGCAAACAAAGGTCCGGAAATATTTGGAAGGAAGTATCCAGGACACAGGTTTTTTCTGAAATTCTTTAATCTACTCAGTTTTCAAAGCATCAGGCCGCTAGCAAATTGATCGACCAGGCGATAGAGCACTGGTCAGAAGTTGTCCTCCGCATAAAAAAAATTTCAAACTGTAACTGCAGCTGAACAAGCACCAAAGCAAGCTCCAATTTTTTAGGAATTTATTTGGCTGAGAAAAATGTGGGAAAACAGCATCAGCTTTGTTCTTGGGCTGAAACTTTAAAACTTTCACACTGTCATGAGTTTTTATACTAATGCGAAGCGAAAAGAACTTTCCATATTTTTCTTTAACCCCAAGATCTAAAAAAGAACACTAATTGTGGATTTTTAGACCACAAAGGGTCTACACTCACACTCTAGCATTAGTGCGGTTGAAATGAAATTGCAGAAAAGCATGCTTTTGTTCCTTGAATCTTCAAGATTCTAAATTCGATAGGCATAGCGGTGCGCATTAAATAGTTGGCATTATTCTGTACTGTCAGCTCCAGCAGACATTTTTCTGCTGAACGCCTCTAATCATTCGCTTGTTAGCAGATCCATCTTTTAGATTCTTTAAAAAACTTCATTTTTGTTAACATCCTCTGCAGTTCCAGAATCGATGGATATGTGAAACTGAAAGTTAGCAGCCTAGCTTTTATTTGATTATAACATGGAGTTTGAAATCATCTCCCGTCCCCTGCTCCCCAACTTTGAATTCGTGCTATGTTCAGTGTGCAGACAGATATTTCACTTAATAGCTCACAACTGCCTTTTTGGGCATGAAAATTTTGTTGTTGCTCTCAGAACATTTTAGAAATTTGCAAGCTTTGCTCAAGAGGAATCAGAGGATTTAAATCCGTTTCGCGATTGGTAGAAGCAAAATGAGTGGCAGCGTACAACTAGACTCATTA